ATGAAGTCAATGTAAATATTTGAGTATGACATTATGAGTTTATAATTTTCATTCAAAAGAGGGGAAAATGGCATATTGATCCCTGCTTTTTTATTTTTTTACTCCATGATACAACCTTTCTTGCAACATTAAATTTTAGTTTACATAATAATACCTTTAAAAGGTTATTTTTGTAAAGGGTAAATGTTCACCATGTCTTCTAACATTGTGCTACACCATAATGTGAAGTATTTGAGTGAAATGAGCGAATAAAAATGTAAACTATATAATGAATTTGAATTAATCTGATAAATTACATCCCTTCATAAAAAAAAAAAAAAAAAAAAAAAAAAAACAAGAATATACAAATCGGATAAAAATAAGGTTTATTGAAATTTGTATTCATATGAGTTTTAAAGCTTTTAGATTTACTTTGAGATGAGTGCAATATAATTATTTATGTATTACACTCATCTGAAAATATATTCAAGAGTTTTAAAGCAGATTTTTTAATTTTTATGAGGATATCTTGACATAAATATTTTTCATCTAAATTGAGCCCATGACTAAGGTTTCGTTTGGGACAGCTTTCTTACTGCTTTTTAAAGCTACTTTCTAGTACAAAATTTTTAATTTTTGTACTAAAAAATTATTTTAAAAAACATTAAGAAAGCAATCCAAAACGAAGCCTAAGGCTTCTTTTAGGATAGCTCTTTTAGGTAGTAGTCCAATGGCCGCTCGGGTGGAGCTTCAAGATGCTCCAAGTCTTTAAGTTTTTTTGAATCTCTAACCAATAGTCTTTATATAGAGAATATGAGGCCTATTTATTAATTTTTTAGAGTGACATATCAATAAATGTGGAGAAAATTCAGAGTACTCTATCGAACAACCCACGTTAATTTTTTTGATCAAGAGCATAATTTAGCATTTAAATACCTTAATCTTGTTTAACTTAAGTGATCTTAGACTTATTGGATTTTTATTTTAAGCATGTCAAACTTAGCGTTTTGTTTGGAACGGCTTTCTTACTGCTTCGTAAAGAGGCTTTTTAGTAAAAAAATTAATTTTTTTATTAGAAAGCTGCTTTAAGAAGCAGTAAGAAAGCCGTCTCCAAAGAAGCCTAAATGTTCATTTAGAATTGTTATTTGATCTATCATATTTTTTATGAAGCAATAATGACATAATGTTAATATCACTCAAAATTTAAACATTGCAACAAAATCTTAAAATTGACTTTTCGTAGCTTCCATTAAGGTTTTATTTGAGACAGTTTCTTACTTATTTAATTTAAAGACCTCAATCACAATTTTTATTTTGTCTCTTTTCATTGCTTTTAATAATTTTTTGAGGTAAGAAGCTGCTTTCTACAACTGCTTTCAAAAAAGTTATTTTCTCTGCACCAAATTTACAACCACCATTACAGTCCCAAACAAACCCTAAAATTTTAAAATTAGTTGCCACACTTAAAATATTAAAAATTGTAATTTTTTATTTTTTTTCTAAATTGGGCATAAAATTTGTAAATAAGAAAATTTCAAATTACATAGGCAGCAGAAATAAACGAGTTACAAGTGTAATTAGAGATTCTTGCCAGATATTAAAGAGAGCAAGTTGCACTGTCCTGCTGCATAAAACGTTAAAATGCTGCAGAAATTTGCAAAAAAAAAACAGTAAGAAATTTCAACTGTAAACTACTGTAGAGGGGCAAACTTGCAAAGATA